TTCAATAATTAATTGATCCCAATTGAATTTTAAGTGATTCCAAGATCCTTTATTTGTGCAATAATTGACCGGGCTGAGGCCCTACCATCAACCATTACATTTTCAAGGTGATTAAACTCTTTACTGATTACAACTCTTGTAACCTTTGGTTGAATAATTAATCATCACATGTTTAATTATTACCCTTAGCTTCAAGGTTCTAAACCCTTTAGGTAACCTTGTTGAGTATAACCAATTAAAATTGTAAAACGTGATTTACCCCAACTCCCCAAAGATATAATATGACACCCAGCGGAGGCATGACCCATCATAAAATATCAAAGGTTTCATCGGGTTTTTAATTGGAAAAGCTGCCTCAATATTATCGGGACCTAGATTTATTATGTAGTGATTATTTAGTGAACTCTAGCGCATCATCAATCAACATAAATAAAATCTAACATGCATAATCTACTAATGCAATAAAATAAAGCATGACATAGTATGACCCCTTAGTCCTAAGAAAACAAGAAATGAAAAAGCTCCCACTTGAATCATCATGGATCTCCATCCACCTTGCTCCTTTGGGCCTTCACTTCATAGGCTTCTTTGTACTAACACTATTTAAATAATTATTCTATTTACTTTAAATAAAAGTTACAAAAATACTTAACGGTACGCAGACCGTATTTAGATTACAAATTACTTCACGGTGCGCAGATCGTATTTAAGAATATATGGTCCATATATACTAGTTTATATATAGCAACATAATATCATATATTATAAAAGTGCCATATAATAAATCACTCAACATGCTTGTCTAAACTACAACATCGAATGTTCATAATAAAGTCAACGCATTTCCTAAAATATCTCATATTTTAAAGCATAATTAGATAATATCATATATTATCCATGATCGTTTATAAAATATCATATATTTAATTTAGTCATGAGATAGAATCAAGTCATATTTTAATCTAGAAAGATAAATCATATTTAATCTTCCATGATTATCTTAACAAATTTAGTTCTATCCTAATTACTAGCCAATCAAATAATTTTAAAATCAATTATATCCTAATCAGATAATCACATTATTTAAATCAATTATTACCCTTTTGGAATATGCTCAGAATATCCTAATCAATCTTATCCAAAATTAACCACTTTAATTAGGATTACTACCAATTTAACAACTTTAAATATGGATAATATCAAATATAACAACTTTTGAATATTTGATTTTATCCTAACATAAAAGATTTTATCCAAATAAAACCAATTTTATCTTTTAAAATAAAAGATCATATTTTTCAAAATATTTTATCTTATAAAATAAATCATATTTATCTTGAAATATTTTTAAAATAAAATAATTTTTTTTTTTATAAAACCGTGACTGCACGGTTGCTGGCCACCGTGGTTGGCTAGCCGGAGCTGGGCCACAATGGCTGGGTGCTTTGCAGCAGCCACTGCCGCAAGGCAGCAGCACCCGTAGCAGTGGCAGGCACGGCAGCAGTGTGCAACGCTTGCACAACTGCTGCCTCAGCCACCAGGATCGCTGCCCTCCCCTTCCCCTCCCTCTTGGAACGCCACCTGGTCAGCAGCCACCGTGGTTGCGCCATCCAGCCACGGTTGGCGACCTTAAATAATTTTTTTGTTTTTAATTTAATTAAAATAACTCTTATTAAAATTAAATTAAATCAGTCCAAAAATTAAAATTAAATCAACATTCAATCTTAAAATTAGGGTTCTTCATAAAAATAATCCCAATTTAATTCTAACTTTTAAAATTAAATCGATGATCATACACAAAACACTTATATGCATAAATCAATCCGATTAAAATTATGAATCATAAAATAAATCGAATTAAATCAAAATCAAGCACAAAAATCATATTTTAGAACAATTAATTTTGAAAAAATTCGAAAAATTGGGGTTAGAGGGTTTGAAATTTTCGAACATATTAGGGCTAAAATTCGGTCATCTTCATGGCTATTTGAGCATAATTACATCACATTTAATTGATTCCAAAAGGTTAATCACATTAAATATAATAATTGAACCATAATTAAATTAATTTCTCCCTCTTAATTGGTTATAAAATTTTCATGGACATCAAATAATCGTATTATTTTGATCTAGCGCGTTCATGCAAGAGGCTAGGTGATACCACTGCAGGAGTTTGTAGGTACTACGCAACGGAAAAACATGAATCATATTCAATCAAGTACCAATCCCAAGATCACATGCATAACACACAAGACACATAATCATACCTTTGATGCTTGAATTCCACGAAGCTATTTGATAGGCAAATCAGGGAGAGAATAGAGCCCCAAGCGTTGCTCCTCTACTTAGTCCACGAGATTCAAACGAGCTGTCCACCAATACTAGATTGGTAGAGTGATTGAGGAAAACCGCGATCACCACCTTTATGGACAACCGACCATCGCACGAACCACCACCACCACGAACCACCACCGGCGTGAGGAGGAGGAGAGAGCCATGAGAGAGAGGACTATTAGAGGGATTAGGTTTCGTGTTTGCTAATTAGGGTTTGATCACACTGATCAGTTAATTGCTTTCTTGCAAACCTAGGCACCTAGTCTATTTATAATCTCATTATATAATTAGACTAGGGCACGAAGCCCAAAACACCTTCTAATCCTCCATTTGGCCGGCCACCTAGTGTGATGAGGCCCATGATAGGCCTTGTTCTCTAATGCTCGATCTAGCCCCTTTATGTGACTTTATAGGATCCGTCCTATTGGGCTTTGGGCTATTTTACTAGTCCAAAGATCATTGGTACCTCTAGCTATGGCAAAACGACGATCCAAATGTACGAACTTAATTATCTCCATAATTTGATCCATTTATATATCTAGTAATTGCACATGACGAAGACATAACTCCTTCAGCTAGGCGTATGAGTTCATATCTTTTATTCTTATTAAAGTATATTTGATTTTATATATGTCATATATATGCTTTTATTACTTATTTATTTCCTTTTTTTTAAATATCGATTAGTAGGTGCAAATGGAGGTTCATCCAAGGCAGATAAATATATTTCAGCTCGAGAATATTATGCATATAGACTTCAGTGTCGTCCGGGAAATTACTTGCTCAGAGCTGGAAGCTGTTTTCAGCAATATATCGTTGATATGTATGTCAAGGTAGAGAATACACGCTTAGATTTTTTTCGAAGAAACCAACCGACATTAAGGGCTGATCTTTATCAAGGACTTCTTGATACCATAGACTGTGGAGAAGAATGTGCAGCAAATGTTGGAAAACGAGTTATATTGCCTGCGACATTTATAGGTGGTCCTTGAGATTTGAAGAAGAGATATCTGAATGCGATGTCATTAGTTCAGAGATTTGGCAAGCTTGATTTATTTATAACTATGACATGCAATCCGAATTGGCCTGAAATTAAACAAGAACTTGTTGTTGGATAAGAAGCACAAAATAGATCAGATATTGTCCCAAGAGTTTTTAGAGCAAAGGTACTTGCTTTAAAACACTTAATCAGGAAGAAAAAAAATATTTGGAGAAGTAGCTACAATGATATATGTTATTGAATTCCAAAAAAGAGGTTTACCTCATGCTCATTTTCTCATTATTTTGAAATCATAATTCAAAAGAAAGAATCCTTATGACTTTAAAAAGTTTGTTTGTACTGAAATTCCATCTTCTGAGAATGGATATTTAAGAGAAATTGTGATAAGCATATGAATATATGATGCATGGTCCATGTGGTCATCTTAATCCAGAATGCCCTTGTATGAAACATAAAGAACGACGTGGACATTGTAAGTATGGTTATCCAAAGCAAAATTATGAAGAAAATAAAAGTAATAGTGATGGATATCCTATGTATTGAAGGAGAGCTACGTGTGATATTGTTAAAATTCGGGGTGTTGAAATGGATAAATTCATGGGTGATTCCATATAATCCATATCTTTTAGCACATTTCAATTGTCATTTAAATGTCGAAGTTTGTTCAAATATTGAAGCAGTGAAGTATTCGTATAAGTATGTTTATAAAGGACATGACATGATATCATTCAATATTGTCCAGACAAAAGATGGAGTTTCTGTGCAGGATGAAATTGAACAGTATCAATCAGGTCGATGGGTTTCACCATGTAAGGCTGCGTGGCGCCTTTTTAGTTTTGATTTATATTAAATGTATCCTTTGGTTTTACCTCTTCCTGTTCACTTGCCCAACTCTCAGCTGGTACAAATGAGACCTCATGAAAATCTTACGTCAATTGTTTCAGATGATAAGCGTACTAGGACCTGTTTAACATAATTCTTCAAAATGAATTGTAAATCATCTTTGGGAACAAGATGGCTATACAATGAATTTTCAGAACATTATCGGTGGGATTCATCAAATAAGCTGTGGTATAAAAGAAAGAATAAGAAAATTCAGGTTGGAAGGTTAGTATTTGTTGGACCTTCTGAAGGTGAAAGATACTATTTGCGGTTGCTGCTTCACAATGTCAGGAGTCCAAAGTCGTTTGAAGATCTACGAACAGTCAATGGTTACTTGTGTCACTCTTTTCAGCAGGCACCACTAAAGTTGGGATTAATGGAAGAGGATGATGCAATTGAGTTGTGCTTAACTGAAGGATGTGCCATTCAGATGCCTCATGTCATTCAAAAATTGTTTGCTACATTACTTATTTTCTACCAGCCTAGCAATCCTTTGTCTTTGTGGTTGAAATATTATGATTCATTTTCAGAGGATTTTCGACATAAACATCCTACAGATGCTGCAAGAGTGAAACAGCTAACCATAAGATCAGTTGAGCAGTTTGTTGAGTCAATGGGAAGTACGTTGAAAGCATTTGGGTTACATGATTTAGTAGAAGATGATGGTGATTTTATACATGTAACCAAAGACATAGAAGATGCATTGAATGCACCGATACCACCAGAATGTCTGGAATGTAAAGATAAGTTAAATTAGGCTCAACAAGTTGCATTTGATGTCATTATGGATCATGTTACAAAAGGAAAGCCTGGTGCCTTTTTCATAGATGGTCCTGCTGGAACAGGAAAACTTTTTTATAAAATGCTCTATGCAAAAATCAGATCAATGAATAAGATTGTTTTACCAACAGCCACTTCAGGTATTGCTGCAGCCAATATTCCTTCAGGTAGAACTGCACATTCACGGTTTAAAATCCCTTTAGATCCTTTAGGGTCTCTTGCTTATAATGTTCCTAAGCAGGGAAGTCTAGCTGCACTTCTAAGGGAAACAACGTTGATTATTTGGGATGAAGCTTATATGGCTAAAAATGAGAATATCGAATCCCTCGACTCACTACTCAGAGGTATTTGTAGTTCAAGTGAATTATTTGGAGGCAAAATAGTAGTTTTTGGTGGGGATTTTAGACAAGTTCTTCCTATTATTCCACGCAAAACACAGCAAGAGGCAGTTACTGCGAGTTTAGTCACTTCTGCTCTATGGCCACAGTTGCTGAAGTTCAGGCTTAATGAAAACTTAAGAGCTAAAGATGATCCTGAATATGCCGCTTATTTGTTGGCATTGGGAAATGGTGAATTGCAAAACACCGAGGATGCGTTTGTTGAGCTGCCACTGGAAATTGTTAAGCCTTGTTATAATGGAGAAGCTGATGATGTACATCTAACAGCTGTAGCATTTCCAGAATATTTTTACTACAAGAGCTATACTAACACCGATGAATGAGGATGTTGATGCTATTAATTCAAGCTTGATTTGCAAATTCCTAAGTGAATCAGTAGTATATAAAATCTATGACACAATGATTGATGAATATTGTGCCGTATATCCTACTGAATTTCTAAACAAGCTTTGTCCTGGTGGTATGAGTCCTCATGTGCTAGAGCTGAAAGTAAATAGTCCTGTTATTCTGTTAAGAAACATTCTTCCATCATCTGGCTTGTGTAATGGAACAAGACTAATATGTAAACGATTTTTTCGTAATCTCATCGAGTGTGTTATTGCTGTTGGACATAAAAAAGGTCAGCATGTGTTGATTCCGAGAATATCTTTACGCCCATCAGACTCAACAGGCTATCCTTTTCAATTTAAGAGGAAACAGTTTCCTTTGAAACTTAGCTTTGCAATGAAAATCAATAAAGCTCAGGGACAGACACTTAGTCGAGTTATGGTTTTTCCACCACGATCATGTTTTTCACATGGACAATTGTATGTTGCGCTCTCTAGAGCTCGAAAATCAGCTAATGTAGGTGTTATAATGACGAGGGATGGAACTAGGTCGTTGAAACTAATCCTCCCTCGATCAAACTAAACATATAAACACTTAACAAACCTATATACAAGTATAGAGGCAAGTCAAGGATCAAACCCAAAGGAACGGTAATGTTCAAGCGCTCTCAATTATGTGCCTAAGCTAGGTTAAAGACAAAGATAAAGCAAGAACACTAATAACTAACAAACAAAGAAACCAAACAAATAAAGCACTAGGAACGGGATCAACAAGTAATCATGACAATTGTAGCAACTCGGGAACAATATGCAAATCAATGGTTGTGAAGACTAATGGCAAGCTCAATCAAAAGAGTCAACAAGCTATCTCCTAGAGGTCAAACTAGTGCCAACTACGAGAGACTCTAACTAGGAGCATCACTAATCAAGCTCAATCGACAATTGCAATTCCTAAATCAATGGTCCGTATCATTAGAAACTACAATGCAATCTAGCACAATTCTCAAGGCCTAATCGAATTACACACATGCAAACTTCCATTAATCACTTTAATCTCAACAATTAATCAACACAATCTCTAAATTAAGCACAATTAATTAATCATACAAGTTTCACCCAATCCCTAGCAAACAACTACTCTAACATCATCATCTAATCAACAAACAACTAAAGAAATCAAGAATCAACAATATATGAAGAACAATTACTACACTAATCAACAATCAAACTTCAAAATCAAATCAAACAAACTTGAATATTAAACAAAGCAATAAAATGAGATAGAGTTAAGAATGCTCATTGATAATAAAGAAGATCTCCAATACAATTGTCACCATTGAATCTTCAATCTCTCAATCACCATTGAAATTCCTCACTTTCTCTAAAATTACTCCTAAACTAACCCTAAAACTAGAGAGATAAGCTCTCAACTAAGCTAAAATTATATGATCTAAAATTGGATTATAATCTAATTCTAATTGTTTCTCTCTCTAATTCAAAAATGGGTATTTATAATTACAAGAATAAAAGAATATAAAAGAGAAAAGAAAATAAAAGAAAAGAAATGAAAATAAAATAAATAAGAAAAGAAAAGAAAAAGAAATAGAAATAGAAATAGAAAATAAAAATGTAAAAAGGAAAATTAAAAAAATAAAGGAAAGAAATTAAAAGAAACGAAAATAAGAAGTTCAGTGGACTTTCGAAATCGGCAGCAATATTGGGGAAATTATCCCATACTTCGCACAACACACCACTCCAAATCTCACACCATCACAACCGTTCGATCATCGAAATAAACGGCCCTAATTCATACCCAGCAGTGCGCGGCCGCGATGTAAGGTTGCGCGCCCGCGGTGAATGCGAGCGCGCCCGCGATGAGTGAGGTTCGAATTGAAGTACTGCGCCTGCGTGAGAAGCGTATGGAGCTGCTTGGTGTTGCGGTTTGCGGAGGAAAAAGGTGGTGCAATTGGTGCCGGTTTTGGGAGTTGTTGTTGCGGGACTGGTGGTGTTGGAGGGGTGCTACGAGTGGCCGGAATAGGGGGCAGCAGCTGCAGTTTGCGTGGAGGAAACAGGGGCTGCTCTGAATGGCTGAAATTAATTTGTTGTATGGTGGCGCAATTGGTGGCGGAATCGGAGAGCTGCGGTGGCTGCTTTGCGGAGGTAGATGCGTGGCAGTGAGCTGGCGTTAGTGGCTGATTTTTGGGTGATAATTGCGGTTGTTGTTGGAGTTGTTGCTGTTGTTGTGTGGATGAACAGGGAACAGGGGAAACAGGGGAGTTTAGGTAAGTGGTGAGGTTGTTGGTGCCAATATATGTATGTATATATACATATTTGGTGGGCACGAGCATTATCCTCACAGCATGCTCATGATGAACACAAAAGTAGGCAGTCCCTAACACCATGATTGTGGGTTCAACACTACCCGGCTTGAGAGCACGGCTATGCAAGCGCAAGGAGTTGAATTTAGAATATCCACCTACAAAATACAAATGAAATCAAGGATAAAATGAAATAAAATAAACTCAAAATTAACAAACAAAACTAAGAGAAATAAAATGATAATGAAAAGAATAAAAGAAAGAAAACTATATAAAATGGAAAGAAAATAAAGGAAAGAAAATGAAAATGAAAATAAAATAAAATGAAAACTAAAATAAAATGAAAACTAAAATAAAATGAAAACTAAGTCTATAAAATCTAAAATAAAGGAAAAGCAACTAAAATAACGAAAATAGAACAAATAAAGGAGAAAAGACTAAAAAAAACCATCAAAATGCACAAAAGCCATAAAACAAGAGAAGAAAGGTAAAATAGAGAGAAAAGACATAAAACTAAACATTTATTGAGAAAGAAAGCTATGAAAAGAAGGTAAAAACGACTTAAATGCTCATCAAATGGGTGCCATTTATGACACCCATCAAATAACTGAAGCTAACACTAAGCAACAAGATGCAACAAAGGTGAAAAATATAGTATCTTATGATATTCTTCGTTTGGCAGGAATCATCTAGCAGATTCAAAGGGTAAGTTATCATCATTTTTTCATACATATAAGTTAGGAGATTGTGTATATTTTTTTATAACCATTTGAGAGATTATTTTAATTTATATATAACTTCTACTTGTTTTTCTATGTTTTTGCAGTAATGGAACAGCTTGGAATTCAGCCAAAAAAGTAATGCCACATATTATAATGTAAATGTAAATAGTGGAAAATTAGATATGTCTACATATTATTATAATGTTAATGTAAATAGTGGAAAATTAGATATGTTAATCTTATTTTCATTATTAAGGAAAAAAAGGAAAAAAAATAAAAAAAAAGGAAGAAAAAGGAGACAAGAACACTATTACATGCTGAGATAGCTATGTATGCTTGCAATTTTCTATTAGATTAGAAAGGGGATGGAAGTTTCTGTAAGAATAATGCCACATATTATAATGTAAATGTAAATAGTGGAAAATTAGATATGTTAATCTTATTTTCATTATCAGGGGAAAAAAAAGGGGAATTTTTTTTTAAAAAAAAGGAAAAAAAGGAGGAGACAAGAACACTATTACATGCTGAGATAGCTGTGCATGCATGCAATTTTCTTTTAGGTTAGAAAGTGGATGGAAGTTTCCCACGTCAACCTGTGCATGCATTCTTTTTCTACTTAATTTTCCGCTATATAAGCAATGTATAGCATCATTTACATTCTCTAAAAAAAATCTCTACATTTAAACTTATGCTATACATATCAAAAAATATCAAATACATAAACAATTGGTTAAGCTGTACCAGGTTCAACACACAACAATCAATCATTGGCTACTTCATAGGTATGATCAATCTAATTTTCATGTTTACACAAAAAAATCTGTTTTTACATCATGAATTTAGATAGATCTGCATGTGTTGTTATTTTCAGTATATGACCTCTTAATTTTATTTGTTATAAACATTCTACATGCTGATAATTACTAATTTAAGTTTGCAAAGCATCTGTTTTAAGCATACAATATGAAAATTTTATTTTTAAATCACAACATGCTTTTAAATTTTTACAGATTTTGCATAATAAGTAAAATATTCTGAATACCTACAAGTTCATGCACATTTATCTTTCATTTATGCCTTATAAACAATAATTCAAGGCATGCAAAATGATTTATAAATCATATACATCAGATATTGTACAATAAGAGCAGTGGATTGATGATATTTTCATGTCTAACATTTTACATGCACAGTAATTGTTAATTTAATTTTGCAAAACATACACTTAAGACATTGTAGGGAATATTTCAAGCGTTAATCCCCTAGCTTGAACCCCACTGTGATCATACACTAAAGTACGGTGGCGTCCAAAGGGAAAGAAGATAGAGCAAAAGAGTCGCCAACAAGTTTTTTAGGAACTTGTAAACCGTTCACGAGGTGAAGGTTACACCCCTTAACGATCCAAGAGATCGTCAACTCCATAAGGTCTTGAACCAAATAGGGTTCGGGGATGAAGGTACAAATCCAACATAAAAGAGATTGAACCTGCCCTAATAATAGGCCTCTACTTTATTCAGATCGTATTCATGTGCGCTTTCTGACTAACATGCAATCAATGGGATTAACCCTAAACATGTTTATCTATGTTGGTTGAATATTAATGCACAAATAAATCAATTATTGGCGATCACTTGAATTATAATCAAATTAACCCTAAACAAGATTATTAATTATCTTATTAAGCGTGATTACAAGTACCAACTCCCTTTAAACATGCATAAAAGGCGTGATCAAGCAATAAAAATAAATATCAAGCAACATAATAATAATAAAAAATAATTGGAATAACAATCATAAAATTATCATAATAATATTCATAACCATAATCATGAATCATAAAAATAATCATAATCATAATTAATAATCATAAATCATGTTAAAGCATAATAATAGCAAGATCCTAGGCATGATACTAACAAGATTAATAACAAACCCTAGCATGTCACTAAACAATAAAAATCAAAGCTTCAACCCTAACTTGGTACTAACAATCATAAATATTAGGAAGAACATAAAAGGCATCATACTTTTAATCATATTTAATATTAAAGTTACCCTAGACATGATACTAGGAATCATAATAACAACTTAAGCATGAACTCTATATCATAACATCAATAAAAACCATTAAAGCACTTACTTTGATGCCTCGTACCTCTTTCTAATAACAAAATACACGCGTTAGTAATTTCAAGGAAAATAATAATCAAAACAATTAAATTAAATAATTGAAAGAGAGATTTGGGACCAAACCCTTAGAAATTAAACCTTTCACGTCTAGGGAGAAGGCAACTTCGAATATGGCTAGGTGTATCTAGATCTAATGAATGCGAAATTTTTTATATATGAAAGTAGGCTAATTTAGAAAAGAGAGAGAGAGAGAGTTGGTAGATTGTAGATGAATGAAAATTGGTGATTGTACATGACTGTTGATGAATGAAAACGGAGTTTTACGACGTTGTTTATAAAGAAAATCAGCCAAAAAGACAAAATTTCAAATAGAGTTCTGGCGCAGATAAAACTTGATTAGCGCCAACACTGAC